ATATATATATATATATAAAGAGCTTACTAATTAAGAATGTTCATTATTGCATTGCAAAAAATAAAACACGATTTAATTTTATATACATTGTATTCATGAATAGCTTAGAGCAAGAGCAAACAATACTGTGATTTTTTTATCATTCCATATAAGTTTTTTAGAAAGAATCTTTATTTGGCCCTAAAGAAAATTTTTGGTTGTGTTTTGCTGCTTCGTTCTACATGCACCTCGATCAGATAATTGGCATGATGAGGAGAACTTTTCTAATTGCTGACGAAACTGTATAATTTAGCTATTTTCCGACCAGCGCAGATTAAGCAGCGGAGAATCGATCCGACGAAACGGATTCGACCATCACAGTTCGTCGCGGAGGTCGGCAAAAATTCCATGCTCATGGTACTTTCATTAGCGCTGACGTGCGATCCCCTCGTACACGTACTCATGTAGTCTCATGGAAAAATACCGAATTGCCTGTCGGGCACCCAACTCTGCTCGCTTTTGCAACAAGCCGGGTGTAAAATTGCTCTTCGAGAGGAATAAGATGGGTTGCGTTCCCAGGGGAAATGTATGTATATGATATCGCTCGAGAAACTATTGGAGTATATCTCTTAGCAGATAGGGAATAATTCTTAGGAATATAATTCTTTTCAATAAAATTTTCTTTGTAGCACGCACTTTATATATGTAAATTAAAGATATTTAATAAATTTAAGACCGATATTCATAATGGATTCTTATACTTAAGACCATCTTAAGTACAATCGTAAAATGTCATAAACCAATCACAGACTCATATTAGCATTAAGATATTACACAGCTTGAAACGGTTTTGTTCATATTAATATTATATGCACTTATTCTTAGTAATAAATTAAATTTCAATTAAATTTAATACTTTTTTTAGTTAAATTATTTTTATTAAATTATTTTATTTTAGTTAAATTAGTGATATTAAGATCTCTGTAGAAATGATTAAAAATAACTTGGGTACTAAATTGGGTATAATTTGGTATTATTGTATGAAATTAAGAGTAAAATTTATCTTATTAGTTATTAGAATAGATAAAAAAAGTAAAATACTTTAAATACTATATAATATTGCTTATAAGATGGCTTTGTATCCATCTATAAATCTTCATGTAAAGAGAAGCATATTATCTTCCAATTAAAGCGCGAAATGAAGCGTGAAATGAAGATTGAACGAAGAAAAAACAAACTTATTTCATACATACATGTCACGTTTTAGATACGAAAAGTTTGAAAGGCAAGCGTGCTGGCAGTAAAAGCGCGATGAGTGACAGGAGTTCGTGAAATGGTATAACTAGACGCTGTAATTACCGTCATCTCGAAGGATACTCATGATACGACAAGTTTAACGTCCCGCGATGACTCGCATTCGTTACTATCAAACGATTCATGCTCAAGAACAAAATCGTCAACAGCTCCTTTGAAGAAAACGATATTGTTACTTTGCACTTTGTTGAAGCTGTGCAATTTGGTGTCTCAGACACGCTCGCCTCTTCCAAATAAACCGCCGCTTTTCCGCGTCAGGATCGATACGAAAGCACGTTAATCTCGATTCCCGCATGGGAATCTGCGACCGCATTCCAAATGCAGCGGTGTCGCGTCGCAATTAAAGTCGATTTGCGCTCCGTCTCTTTTTCCGTAGATAGAAATGCGGTCGTCCTACGTGGAATCGTGGTAAATGCCGCTCTAAGGCCAGGACGAACGGAAACTTAATGTAGATGTCCCATATAATCGTGATGGATAATCTCGAGGCCCTCGGTAATGTCGCCGCTCTTCAAGGCTGCACACGAGAGAGACGATCGCACGTGCATCGCGTCGAGAAATTGTGCTCGGTTACGCGAACCTTCTAGCTTAAAGCGATCGATTACGAATCAACCCTGACGGAAAAATATGCGAAAATGCGATTTCCTTAAGTGACATCAGACAAACGCGGACGATGATTCAGCGAGGCTGCGGAGCAAAGAATTCGCGCGAGGTTAACACGTTATGTGTAAAAATAACTAAAACGTTAGAAATAATAACTTGAAGTTACTCATTACTGTTCTGTACATTTTTTAAATATAATTTTTGAAAATTTTTATATAGATTTTAGATTTTCTGAGTTTAAAAACTTTTAAAGATTTCTCAGATTTTTTTTATACGAATTGGAACTTTTCTATAATGCTGAGAAAATTTATCTAGAATTTTTCAAATGAAATCTGAAATATTTTAAGATTTCTCATTCTATAACTTCCATAAAAAATCTGATAAATTTTTAAATTATATATATATTTTTTTTTTT